TGTGTGTGTGTGTGTGTGAGATAGAAAGATTGAGGTTACAGTTTATGTGACGTCAATGGACCATTCATGAATACCCCTCCTCCTCCTCACTACGTAGCTGCTAATGCGATACAACGCACCACGTGGGGGTCCTTACCCCCTTTTCCATCCAATCAGAGCTTAGCGCTTAACGCAGCAGACACAAATACACACACACGCTATACTACACCCCCGCCCCCACACACGTGTGCGTATGTATACATGAGCGGCTTGGAAGGTCTGCATGCTTGAGTTTCACATGACATACTGTACACGGAGAGTTGAAACACATGGACACACACACACACACATTCTTCCTGGTTGTTCATTCATATGATGAGAAATCACAGGAAAGTCTTGATGAAGAGGTGATGAGGAGAGGGATGGAGAGGTGGATTGGATGATTAAGGTTTGAGGAAGGGAAGAAAGAAGGATTAAGAGGTGAAGGGATGGATGAGGAAAGAGGGACTGAAACATGGATAAGTGGCTGGAAGGCTGTCATGAAAAAAGAACAGATGCAAAATGAAAACAGCTCCCATCCCTGTTCGCCTGCCTTGTAAACAACCCCTGTCTCTGGGCGAGAGAGGAGGAAGGAGGGGAGAGGAGAGAGAGGGAGGGAGGGAGGGAGGGAGGGAGAGAAAGAAAGAGAGGGAAAGAGAGAAGGAAAGGGTGAGAGAAAGATAATGGGAATGAGTGAAAACAAGATAGTCCTGCATTAGGAAAGATATGAAAGACAGGGAGGGGGGATAGAGGGATTGAGACTGAGTTGTTATGCCCCCACACACCATGACTCATCTCCGGTTTCATACCCAGCGGGAGGAGGGCTGTGTGTTTGTGCGCAAATGTGTGTGTGCGTGTGTGTGCAGTAGAGTTTGTTTGCGGGAGAGTTTGAGGAGCACGGTGCATGCATCTGTACTTGAATATGTGTTTAGAGTGAGTAAGAAGCACAAAGAGTTGCTGGTTGGTGTGCACATGTCGAGCTTTGTGACGGAGATGGTGTGTGTGTGTGTGTGTGTGTGTGTGTGTGTGTGTGATTGTGGTAAGAGCAGAGGGTGTTGAGGGTGAGCTGTCGCAAGCGGGAACGTTTAACAAGCCCCCAGATGATTCCAGCTTTAATTGATTCAAGACTGGAGCCAGTTCAGTCTCACACGTGCTCTTGGAAAAAATGAATATTAAAAAAATATCTCCCTCCATTAATGACCAGCACTAATAAGCAGAAATAATATTCTTTCAGAGGTTCTCCAGGCAATTGTGAGGAGTGGATGGGCACCATTCATCTAATGCCCCACTTACACCCCATTACTCCTGCTCACATCTGACTCCCAGCATCAGCACCTGCATCCACATGTTAAGTCCTTGTGCTGTTGTTGTTGTGGGGTTTTTTTCTTCCAGGGATGATGAGACAGTCACACTCATCCAGCCCTAACCCAGGGATAGAGATAGTGCTGTGGCTTAGATGAGGTAAACAACAGCCACTCCCCCTCCTCTCTCTCTCTCTCCCTCTTCTGAAACCAGCTCGATCTGCACAGCACGACGCAGCAGCAGGAGGCGGAGGAGGAGGAGGGTGGTGAAGGAGGCAGTGAGGAGTTGCTCTAATTCCTTGATGTGTGTATGTGTGTGGTTGCGTGCTCAGCCTTCCTAAAAGCACTGCTGCTACCCCCCTGTTCTCTCACCCCCTCTGCCACCCTCTCTCACTATTTTACTGAGGGGAAGTGAAGGAAGCAGCAAATCATCCAGGGACAGCGAACGGTTGGTGCCACCACCACCAGCCTGCACCCAGACCTGCTGCTCTATATGTAACTTCATGTGCATGTGTGTGCATGTGTGTGCATGTGTGTGCATGTGTGTGTGCGTGTGTGTACTTTTTTGGTTTTGCTGCCACTTTAGGGTCTTCTCGAGCATCAACACCCTCTCAGGACCAGTGGACCACATGGGGACCAAAGCCTGGTCTCAATGAGGCAACACTTGGCCTTGCTTAAGGTCAGGGTTAGACAGGAACTGGTCTAGTTAGGGTTAGAGGTATTGGTTAGACTGTCCACAATGAATGGAAGTCAGGAGTCCAATGCAAAGGATAGGAACTAAAAAAAAATTTTTTAAACCGGTCCCCATAATGTGCATGATCACATTGTAAGGTGAAGACATGTTTAAGGTTAAGGTAAGTAGATAATGTTTAAGGTGAGAGTAAGTCTGTATGTAAGTCAATGAAATATCTACTGAAGTCATGGAGTGAGTGTGTGTTTGTGTGTTGTCATTTTCCTCGTTGCAACACATAAAAACGCAAAACATGCCCCGTGCCTCCCAGCGTCTACCCAGGCCGCCGGGGCCAGGGTACCGACCCCGCTGGAGCCCCGCAGCCGCTCACAGTGACTGACAAGCCCGCTGCAAAAAAAGTGCGTGCCAGGCTGCTGCTAGCCTAGCACTGAGGTAGCACTGATGTAGCACTAGCAGAGGCAGCACACTGGGACTTGTGTGCCCCTGCAACACTCCCACTTTCAGACCCTATCGTGCTGGTATCGTGGTGTTTTTACCTTGATCGCAGTCAGCTTCGGGTGCAGAGACGGTTCTCAGTCCTCAGCCGATTCCCACGGATTAGGAGATCATTGGGAGCCGGAGCCAGGCACATGTAGTTGCACGGCGGAGGGGGGTTTGTAGCACTAGTTCACTTTGCCCACTCGGTGCCCCCCTGGCAGGCTGCTAGCGGTTTATAGCCCCGCACTGTGGATCCACGCTGGTGGGGGTGACAGGACCGTCCCCTCCCGTCGCCTTCCCCCTCTGTCCCTGCACGGTGCGTGTTGACAGCGCGTCAGCCCAGCGCGGAAATCCGAAATAAAATCCCCCGAAAAACTAAAGTGTCAGCCGGACTAACTTACAGCCTTTTCATGCGAGTCCACAACAAACCCGGAGCCGGTGCTGCCGCTGCTGTTCACGGCGATGTGCGCACAACACGGAGCTCACAGGGAAGCATGTCGCATTTTGAAAAAAAAAAAATCAGCCCCAAACGTGGTGTCAAAATCCGCCTGTGTTTTCCTCCCCAGTGCCAGAGGTACTGGAGGAGGAGGAGGAGGAGGAGGAGGGGACGGAGAGGAGAGACGAGGAGGAAGAGGTAAATACGAATTAAAAAAAATAAAAAAAGAAAAGGATGTTTTATTTCCAAGCGATGAGTCAGAAAAGAGGAGCGCAGTTTTCTCAGCGTCCCCTCCTTCTAAAATAAAACACCGCTCTCTCTCCTCCTCCTCTCCGGCACCGAGCCTCGCTCCCGCTCCTCCTCACTCACTGTGCCGGGTGGACGTGCACTCCGCTCCGCACCAACGCTCTCCGCACAGGCGGCTCCCAAACCTCTGCTCCCTCCCCCGAGGAAGAAGAAGAAGCACACACAAAAAAAAAAGAAACAGACCCCACGGAGGCAGTCAGAAAGAATCAGCTTTTTATCACCAGCTTGAAAACTCTTTTGGCGCCATATTTATGGCGTACTTTCAATTCTGTGCTCACCGCAGGCTGCACTTCCTCCTCTGACAACTGAGAGGACTGCGCCTCGGAGAGGAGAGCGGGGGGACTGACCCTCCACCTGCCGCTGCTCACTGGCAGCGACTCCGGAGCAGTCGGTGGCAGAGGTGGAGAGAAGTATTCTGATATTTTACTGAAGCAAATGTACTGATTTCATACTTTGAAAGTACTACAATGCAAGTAGAGTCCTGCCTTTGAAATCTTAGAGGTACAGCCTGCTGTGGCAGATCTTTCTCAAGAAGAGGTCAGAGTTTACACAGAGAGGCCGGAGGTCAGCGTTAAAGGTCCAGTGTGTAGAATTCAGAGATATCTAGTGTGGAAGTGTCATTGCAGCTGAACACCCCTCACCTCACCCTCTCCTTCCAAACATGAGAAAGAACCTGTGGTAGCTTCAGTTGTCATGAAAACTCAAAAGGGCTTTAGTTTGTCCAGTCTGGACTAATGTAAAAAACATGGTGGCCTCCGTAGAGAGGGTCCCCTCCATGTAAATATAAAGTATTTAAATATAAAGGAGCTTTTCTGGGGTAAAGAAAACTACAATTCATACAATTTAGATGAAACYAACTAMTGAAAACATCATGAGGATTATTCTACATTAKATTTCTGCCAATAGTTCCCTTTCACCTAAATCTTACACACTGGACCTTTAAGTCATTATTGAATATATTTTAAACATTGCTCAAGCACATTGTGTACTTCAAAAAGAAAACATTCCATATATATATATATATATATAATACATTTAATATTTTTCTTTACATCTTTGATTCTCTCATTATTACTCATGTTTTACAGATATAGGCCTACATACAGTTTATACTTATATATAATATCAAAATAGAAATAACAAACCTGGAAGTAAGGACAAAGTTGTAAAATGTAATTAATCTAAGTTAAATAAAAAAAGAAATACATTTAGATGTAAAAAGGTACTTTATTATTGAATGTAAAAGTACACTGGTGCATTAAAACGTTTTACAATTCTATATTTTATGTTATATATTTTGGCTGCTGCATTAAGGTTTATGTTGCATTTTACTGCTGTAGATGTTTAAGGTTGAGTTCATTTATATACAGTTGGGTAGTTTAATCTACAGCAAAGCATCATTTTCTCCAATATATGTCTGTGAGAACCATGTACCATCAGCTTGGTGACAATACATTTTTCTGAAAATCACAATTTTTGACAAAAAAGACCCTCCACACAATTTCATGCAAATCAACTGTAGTAGTTTTTTGTGTAAATATTCTAACAAACAAACAATGACCAAATATTTGAAGGCTAATCAAAGATGTCTGAGACCTGACTGACTCATCCATAACTTTCTTCAAGTTCAATCTCAGCCCCTCCACATATTTTCAAATCCTGATATTAAATCATCACCATCACCATTAACCGGTGCCACTATAATTGGCAGCCGAAGATTCAGTTCAAACCGAAAGGCTGTGGTGGCACTTTGCTGTAAGTGATAATATCTCTCCAGCAGTGATTGATTTGGCTCACAGTGATCCAAAGGACATGGCTGGTGAGTAAATTACCTTCCTTCACATTTTCCTCTAAAATCTATATTTAAGAGGGAGGAGGGTGTTTGATCAATGCATAATCTACTGCCATCCTCTGGCTCTAAATCACTGTCCGCTGCCTTTTATTCATTCTCTTGTGATGTCTGAAGTCTGCACAGCACAGGTCAGATCTGTCTGTCTCATTAAGTATCTGACAGAGAACAGACGATCTTCACTCAACTACCTTTATATCGAGTCAAATGTATTGGTGGAGGAAGTTCTCAAACATTTTACTTAAGTAAAAGTACAAACAATGAGATTAAAATGTACTCAAGTGAAAGAAAAGGTACCACATACATCTTCAACATGAGTAAAGGTAAGTACTTGCTTTTAGGTAAACTTAAAAGTATTCAAAACAAAAGTACTTGTGTAACCCATTCCGGAATGCTACAGTCCAAAATCCATATCAGGTGTAATGATACCTGCCCACTCAGAGTGGATGAGTGGACCCATTCCCCTCTCGTCATTGATTAAAAGTACAAAAAAAGTGACGCAGAAAGTACAAATATTTGCTGATATATGTAGTAGAGTAAAAGTGGGAAGTACCTGAAGATAAATATACTTAAGTCCAGATACATGAAAAATGTACAGTAACTAAGTAAATAACTAAGTAAATGTACTCCCTTACATCCCACCCAAGCTCAAATTTCTGGCCAGTGGACGAATCTGTGGGCAGATTCCACCTGAATGAAACACACAGGCCTGCAAGTGCATGTACACACACTAACTCACACACACAGGCGAGGATGTCAGGTGCACAATTGCACAGATCAGCTACATCACACTGGGCACGGGTGCGGTGGTGAGAGGAGGGTGGGGTGTTATTGCACAAAGTGAAATGAGGCGGTGAAGGACACTGAGGAGGGATTTCATGGCACACATTCAAGTGCAACAGCAGCGTCCCCGCAGTTTGTCCTGCCCTCCACATAATGCAGGTACAGGCGGCGTCCCCTGAGGAAACAGCCTGCATGTGACCCTCTCCGTGGTCGCTGTAACGTGCACTAATGCAGTTTCCTGACTGATGAGATGCACACGTTGTTTGCTCAGGGAGTAGATCCAACCAGAGATCTGGGTCAAACAGTGGTGGTGTAGTTTGTTTAATCTTGCCGGCTGCAGCAGATGGGTGGGGTGATACTTGTACAGCACATCATTAAATCATTAGAGACATCAGTTTAAAGAGGTCAGTGTTCGTAACTAATGAGTCAATTGCCACAAGTAAATGAGCTGCATGAGACATACACGGCATCACAGGCTGCAGATTGTTAAGGTTAAGGTAAATTGAAGGATTTATTGTAAGGTCGATTAAATTACGCTAAACAGAGAGGCAGTGTTGTCTCTGCGTAAAATTTCACACCCAACATGACGTATGCTCTGCAAAACTTTAAACAAAATCTAAGGATTATGTTTAATGACATAATTAATAATCTCCTGTCACCTACTTTTTCTGGCTGATTATTCTCTTTTCTGTTCTGTAGTGTAGTAGCAAAATGAAACACATCAATATGCATGGGGGCATTATATGCAATTGTCGTCAGTGTAAGAGGAATGTACCAGATGATTGCACAAGGACGTATACTGTATTTTATTATGAATATGGGAAAATTGGAATAGATGTATGCATATATAAACTCTACCTGTCTAAATAGGGAGTCTATATACTGTATAAAATAGACAGGTGTGGTATACAATGTGAATATCAATATAAAATGGTATGTGATATATGTACAAAAAGGAGTATTGCTCAATAGTATACATGACATGAATACAAAAATAGATAGATAGATAGACGGAATGTGAAAATGGACAGTAATGTGGAAAAGGACATGTTTAGTCAAAATTGTTCAAGTAATGGTGAGCAGTTGTGGTGTTGTGATGTGAAAACAATGCAACATTAAATATACATTCTGTATTGGTAAGTTTTTTTTGTATTGTACGTGCTGACTCACTGGTCAGGCTTTTCCTGCTAACATAACTCACATTATGTTCTGGGAAACGAGGGGAAGTTCAACCCCTGGCTGCTCACACTCATGTGCTGCCCTGTAGCTTCGATTTATAATGACACAGATATTCACGGCTCAGCAAGTTTGCTTTGCTGAAGTTTCAAGTTTTATTAGTCATGTGCAGTTAACACAGGGTCAACAGTACAGGGTCAGCTCAGCAGTGCAATAGTTAAATAAAAGCAAGGTTAAAAGAGCTTACTGTAAAAAAAAAGTCAGTGTGTGAATAGTTAGTGCACTTGGGTATGTATAGTTACTAAACCTCTTTTGCATACAATATAATATACAATATACAATATAAATTAACAGTTAAGTACCTGTAGCTGGGTTTCCAGTATATATAATCAAACCAATTTAGCAGTAAACTACAGGTTTTTGTACAGTGTACTTACTGTATGCATGATTTACAGTTTACTACTGTTTTGATAGCATGTACTGACACTGTATTTTATTAAATTTACAGTAGACTATTTTAGATATTTCAACAATTGGTAGCTCCTTACATTGTCTTCCTTCATGTTTTTGGAACTCTCATCAATCATGATCTCCCTGCAACCACCACAGGTACCACCAACAGCAATGCAGACATGACAGGATTTATGGAAGCAGCTTTGAGGTGGCACACACATCACGGCCGCAACGCTCATGTCAACTGCATTTAGGCCAATGGAGGAGTTTTAAACTTTTAAACAATGGGTCAGGACCTGAAATAGCTGGCAGACACCCTTTGCTCCAGTATCCCCTGCATGTGAAGAGCACTGATTTTTAATTAGTTTGGGTCCCAGGATGACGCACTACATTTATCATTTGGGTCCCAAGCTTGGGTCCCAAGCCTAAAGTGTGTAAGCACCCCTCCCTTGATGGGGAATAAAAGTCAAAGCAATGTCAAGTGGAGCCTACTTCTTTCCGATATCATTTCAGATATGCTCTTTCAGCTTATTGTATTTTATTATATAAATGTTTTATTTTGTTAGGCTCGCTCCCTGGATGGATAATCAGTTACTTTCCCTGCATTTCCTCCTTCTATACTAGAGCGACAGAAACCATCTTTGAGAAATATTTATTTGTCTTGTTTTTTACCTTTTAATTTGGTCCACGTCCCATCCACAAACATGGAGGTGAACTACAATGCAGCCAGACACCAGTGGGGAGGGGGATCAGGGTGCTTTGGCTTCCCTTATGGGGAACTGTGATGTCATCCATCTCTAAATAGAATCCGGTTTGTCATGTGAGTGTAAATGTCACATTTGGACATTAAGGTTAAACTTAGCTGCGTTCAACCTTCAAAATATTTCCAAAATGTGAAGAGAAGAAAATACAGCAAATACAGATCCACTTAAAGGATCTTGATTTTCAGAGACACTTAAAAGGGTGGCGCCCTAAATCCTTTCTCATTAACACTCCGTCAGGACTCCGCTTGAAAGGGCTACCTGTTGTCTGTGTGTTTTCCAATTATAGTTTTCTCCTGAGTAAGCATACATTACGTGACTCATCAAGAGCGGCTGTCTGCCAGAGCCGGCTGGAACGCAGTGTATTATTTCAGCATCAGTGTATAATTCAGGCTGAGTGGGAGCGGGAGAGAGCGAGGTCATAAACTTAATGGGTTAGTTCACTCAATAAAGCGGCGACTTGTATGACTTGGATGCCGACCAAAATATAACATACTCGGGAGAGTCGCTGGTGGTTTTTCTTGGGAAATTTGAGAAGAGGTGAAAGTGTGTTTTTATGAGCGCCCACTGTGTGTGTGTGTGTGTGTGTGTGTGTGTGTGTGTGTGCTTCCCTGACTCACGAGGAAGGAAAAAATGTCTGAGGCAGAGAATATTTAAGGGGCCACTCATCTTAACAAAACCTGACACTTGTTATGTGTCAGAGTCCAGCTTAAGTATTTAACATGCATGTTCATTTATTAACATACAGTAAATGCATACGTGCAGCTAACATGTGTTTATGTAAGAGAAATGTTGTGCGGTTAGGTGCACAGGGGGTGTGTGTTTGTGTGTGTGTGCTTACAAATGTAGTTTGCAGAGGGGAGATCCAGACGCCATCACCAGTTGGTCTCACTTCTCTTGCGGTGAGCGTCAGGAGAGTGTGGCCTGTTGAAGAGATGTTTTCTAACCGCCTGTAGAAAACTGACACTGTGTGGAAATAGAATTACAATGTTCAGAGCTGCATGGAAAGCAAGATGAGGCTGAAGCATCTGTAAGTGAGTAGAGTCAATCCAGTCACCTTCTTCCCTTTGTATTTGGAGGATTGCTCAAGTTTTGAAATCATGACGCGTTAAAGTTAAGAAATATAGCTATGTTTAAATGTATATTTTGTAGAATGGAACTTGCAAAATGTAAAGCTTATAGCAAGAAGGCCATAAATAAACCCTCTGTTTAGTAATTCAGTAAAAGTTGTGTGTGGAGTTCCTCAACTTCATATTTGGAGGATGACTGCAGCTCAGTATATTTCTATGAGTAAGACTTCCCTGTTATCAGCTCTTTAATCAGATCTCAACGTTCACTGAACCCTTCAGGTTGCACATTAACATAAATAAAAAATAGAGCTCCTGTCTGGATCTGCACAGACATTATTTCATCCCTTGCATCTCTGATTGTTGTTCCAACATGCTCGCTCATTTACAGTATTGGCTCCATTTTTGGAAACAGAACCAAAGAAATGTTCTCTTTAAAAAAACAAAAAATACATTTTGTTTCCTGTGTGTGTGTGTGTGTGTGTGTGTGTGTGTGTGTGTGTGTGTGTATACGTGTCTGTCTCATTTGTGTGCTTATGTGTATCCTACTTTTTAAATATGATCTTATTTTCTTCTTCTCAACTTTGTAGTCATTTGACTTTGTTGTCTCTGACAGACTAAATGTTTTTCTTACATTTCAGATTAAACAGCTTTATTTCAAATCTTTGGGAGCTGGTCTGTTAGTCCCTCTGGTCCCTGTTCAGATTTGGCATTAACATCCGTCTCAGGTGATCTGATCAGAGGCTCAAAGTACAGATTTGAAATCACACCATGAGGACATGTTGGAGACAACATTGCGGACAGTGAATATGGCCACATTCTTTCAGCAGAGTGAACACCACATTTGCATCCTCCACCAAGTCAGCTGACGTCCTCTGGCTGCTCTGCAGTTTCACAATGAACCAAAAATATTTTTACTCCTCTCAGTTGGCTCTTCCTCCCTCTGGATCCTCTTTGCATATCAATGACTTCAAGTCAAAACAAGCCCCAGATCCACCACTCTGCTGTGTGTGTGTGTGTGTGTGTGTGTGTGAGCCTGAATGTCCGTAAGCCTCTTACATAGACTGGAAGTTAAAAGTCTGAGTGTTCCTCTGTGATCATATTGCTGGCCAGCAGAGAGAGAGAGATAAAGAGAGAGAGATAAAGAGAGAGAGAGAGAGAGAGAGAGTCCCTTTTTCTCATGCATATCTCTGTACCACACGGTGGTCAATCCAGGACACAGAACTGTTGTGGGCTATGGCAGGTGGTCAAAATGTGTAAATACAAATGTTGAGTGCATCACTATCACGACTGTGGTCACATAACAATCACATAGCTTCAACTGATGAACACATGGATCATAGCTAAATTGCAAAACACATGTTAGCATCCATTTTTACACACAAATACATAAGGTAATGCTTGCTCTTGTGTAGCAGTTTAAGTATGACTCAGTTTTGGAGGTACTGCTCACAGCATCAGACCCACGATATCGATGGATTGATAGATAATCGATAGATAGATAGATAGATAGATAGATGGATAGATAGATAGATAGATGGATAGATAGATGGATAGATAGATAGATAGATAGATAGATAGATGGATGGATAAATGTAATAGAGCTAATGAAAAAACAAATATTTTAAGTATAAGGTGATTCAAAGACTCAAGTAACTGAGGAACTGATTATTGAAGCGAAGTATATAATCCAGATTTAAAGATATATATAAATAATAATAATCATTTATATTATTTTCTTTTTATATAGATTATTTTAATATAGATGTTAGAAATTAAAATATTATGAACTACTTCTGTCGTGTTTAAAGCAGTATTGTAACATGTGGTAGTTTTACTTCCACTCTCTATGCAGAGGCTCTGTCAGGTCAGCCGCAGCTCTCAGCTCCAACACTGCGCGGCGCTGTTGGCATCGCGCACTGCTGATAAACAACTTCCGGCACGTGCTTTTTTTAAAGACAGGAAACGTTTCTTTGTTGTTGAACGAGAGAGCAAGATGTCTTCCGTGGATGTGGAGGACTTCATCCAGCAGAACCGGGCTGTGGCGGACCAGGTGGAGACGTTTCGAGGCTACTGGGAGAGCGAGAAGCACTGGCAGGTCCGCCGGGAGTTCATCCTCCGGAACGTGAACGACTACGACCTGGAGCAGCTGGACCACCTGCTCTCTCTGTCCATGGTGTGGGCCAACAACGTGTTCCTCGGCTGCCGGTACGTGCGGAACGAACCCTGTTTCCACCACCGGCCTGTCATGTTGTTCCTTTCTGACCTGGAGGATTAGAGAGCCTCCACAGCTGAAGCTCCTCAGCGCAGGCCTCTGCAGAGATCAGGCTAACCACTTAGCTTAGCTGTAACCACGTTGTTCGCGTTTACCTTTGAATGAATCAACCAAACTTGAAGCCGAAGCTGTTTTCCTTCAACAGTCAGACTTTTCTGTTCTGACGCTACTTGTGATGAATCGATAAATTTGCCCAGAGTGTGTGTTCAGAGATGTTTTACGTCTTCTTCGTCTCTTGCTAACACACGACGGGCTCTGTGCTGCCCCCTGTGTCTGTAACGCGACAGTAGACGGATGTAAACACAACAGCTGCACCAGATGTTTTTTCTATTTTATTTTGTTCTTAAATTCAAGATCAACATCAGTAATTTTCAGCTCCAAGAATTCACCAACATCAGTGAACTATTTAAACTAGTCATGACTAAAAGATCTTTTAAGGATCCTTTATGGACCAATGATCCAGATGTAGGCTTTCAACTGATTCATTGTTTTACACATTAACAGTTTGACTAAATCAGATGTCCTTGAACATGCTGTCACCAAATTGCTTATTCTGTCCAATCAACAGTTCAACAATCTAAATCTTGAACTCATAATCAAGAGGATCTATAACACACGTTCAGGGCTGAGAAAACTGAATTTGTTGGCATTTTTTCCATGAAATAAATGTAAATAATGTATTGTTCTAATAATATGAGGCACAGAGATGAATGAAGGATGCTGAATTGTTGTGGGTCGTTACTTTCTAATGGCAGGTATAGCACTGAGCTCCTGGAAAAAGTGAAGGAAATGGCTGAAGGCATCGTGGTGGAGGACGCACCCGTGTTCAAGACAAGAGATGAAATTATGAAGAAGCAACAGGTGAGTCTTTGGAGACACACACACACACACACACACACACACACACACACACACACACACACACACACACACACACACACACACACACACACACACACACACGTCTGTGAAACGGTATAAAAAGTCCTCATGTATTTCTCTCCTCTGTTGCAGGGTCGATAACCAGCTCATCATCATCTCTGCTCATTGTGCCAGCAGAAATCTGATGACACGTCAGACCACATTTCAAAAGTGGTTTAGAATTGTTTAAATACAGATATTGATATGTTTGTTATTCTCATCAACTGCTAGTTTTACATTTTTTTTTTAAAGTGCTGTTTTTATATCTATTCAGATGCAGGACGATCTCGTGTCTCCCTCTGGAACAGAATAAATAACTTGTGTTTTCTTCTTATGGCATTGTATTTCTCCTTTCTTGTCCTACAAATTATGTGAACAAGCATCATAACTTGGCAGATTCACATTCACTGCAAGTTTAGAAACCACTAGGGGCAAAAACCTTTCTCATCACCTTCATTTCAATCAAAACCTGAAAAATAGACAGCAAAAATAAATCAAGTGCCAAACCAGCCTCAAAGTCTGAAAAATGTGTTTTATTACGTTTATACAGCATATTGTTATAAGTATACATTTTTTTTGCTTAATCCACAAAATTTTTTATAACATATCCCATCTGCTTATTAGGTGATATAAGTCACTAACCACAATATGACCTGTACTGTCTCAGAAAAGTGGAACTGTTTCATGGTGACAGATTATTTAGCTGAAGCTGGGTGGAGTTATGTCATGAATTTATACTCAAGTGGTCTTTTGACTGGGCATCACATACAAGTAAAACAGGAGACAGATGCAGGCATGAGACGACAACTTTGGGGAAGCAGTTGATGTCGTGCTGTTGAAGCGGGGGCGGGGTCGAACTGCATGCGAGTGAGCTCTTCTCTGCAGCAGTCAAACATAATGCAACAGGCAGCACTGCTTGTATGCTTATAATTGTTAATTTACATGTCAGCTGTGTAAATAAATAGGATCGTAAGACGCTTGAACTCAAGCAGACAGACGTCACTGGTAAAACTAGTATTGGGAAGTTGTTTGCTTATGTGTGGTGAGTGAAAATCTGAAAAGCACATGGGTGCAGGGATGAGATCTGTTGGGAGGAGGAGCGGAGAAGCTTTTCAATGAATTTACCTTCCATTTTCCTCACTCAAGAACTATGAGAACTGAATGTGCATTATAGAAAATTAGCAGAACAGAACTGAGAACATGTGTCTGCACATCTTGGAAGTTCAGGCCCAATCAGCAACGACTGAACCATCATGAAGTCGATTTCCTTATTTTGCAGGCTCCTATGCTCTTTAATATGAAAACGTACTGAATCAGGTGAAAATTAAATGTTGATTGAAAAGCTTCCAGTCTTTTCAGTTGACCCTGATGATCTCTTTAGAATCTGCAGTCAAACCTCATCCTGTCAAGTTCTAGTGATAATATTTACTTTCTCATAACTCTCCTTCTCTCGTAATATAATTGATTAAAATAGAAAGCTCAGAGCTGGCTTGCCAAGGAGTCATGATTCATCAGCGCAAAAGGGACACTTGGCACAGTGTGCCCTGTGAGCCCAAACCTATTGAGTCTAAAAATAATGAAGAGATATGCTCGGAACAGAACGATTCTTTTTTTATCAGCTGCATCTGTGGCTAACTTGAATGGTTTAAAAAAGGCATTTTCTAGGTTCTCCCATGACTTTCAAAATACGCTGATTTGGCCTTTTTCCCCCAAAACAGCCAAGTTGTACTCACCAGCAGACGTTACAAAAGAAAAAGTGAAAAGGAAAAAAAAAAATCTGTAAAACTCAAAACAGTCCAACTTAAGCCAAACAAACAACAAAGATATATTACAAATTCTGTTAGCAATAACTTATTTCACATCATGCAATAAAAAAAAGTAAAATTAAGAACAAGAAACACAAACAAAAGATTGATTTCCCTCCCTCGTTTTTCCTCTAATGTATTGGCAAGCAAGTTAATGTCCATTCGGGTTTGGTTGTCCTCTCGAGTTCCTTTTTTCATTCTTTTTATTCAGGGTGGCACTTGAGTTCTTCTGATATAACTGTTTTTTTTTTTGATGCGGTAAAAAAAAAAATCAGAGAGACTGAAGTAATGGGAGGATGACAGGAGGGTGATTGAGAGGAAGAAGCAGAGAGCAAGAGAAGCTCAGACGTCCACCCAGCTCTGCTCCACGATGGCTGTCACTCTCTTCTCGTACTCCCTCTTGTTTTCCTGATAGAGCTGCGCGGCCTGACTGTTGGCTGGACTGTTTGGGTTTGGCTCATCCAGCAACGACTGTGGAAAATAATGTGTGTAATGAAATCTCTCCCGTTTGGAAAAGAAAATGTAGGTTTGATTGCAATAATTTAACATCCACTGTGAAGAAGTTGGGACGTCTGAACTGGAAATATACACATCCAAAGGAGGGAGTCTTAACTTCACTAAATATTAACTATTTATTTAATAATTCAAATCACATTTTAAGCTACAGATCTAAAAAAAAAAAAAAGAAGAAAAAAATGATTTTATCGGCTTCTGTGAATAGATATTTCTATGACATTAAACGTTTTAACCACTCTGAGTGTTTATTTGAGATGCATGAGATAACAGTGTATTTAAATCAGTCCACTCAGTCAATGATGACAGCAGCCAAGGCAAAAGCAGTGCGAGTGTAACATGAAATACGTCCTAAAACAGCAGTTATAGAGATGGAGAGATGGAGCATGTTAGTGCAGTTTGTGTAAAGAGCAGTCTGATCAACCAACCTGGATGGAGGTGAGTATGGATGACACATCATATGTGGGGCTCCAGCGATTCTGAAGGATGTCTAAACATATACTGCCATCTGCGTAAACTGGAAAATAGAGAGATGACACAATCAAGCCTTAGACTACAGATCAACATCAGAGCGCAACTTGTGTCTCGCAAACTACATTTTCATGGACAACAAAAATCTGACTATTGAACTTATTCAGAATAAGACATTATTCAGATTATGATATTTACATGATTGCTCGCAGCATATTCCTTTCATATTCACGATTTCATGTTACAGAGCAGAGTGTGACTCTCGTCAACATTATGTCCAGAACATTATACGTCGAATGCCGGAGTACTACACATTCTCAATTTGATGCTTATTCTGAGTATGACCTTATTTAGGGTAAGGTTATCTTAAAATGTTAAGTTTACATGGCGGGGTCTTATTCGGACCATTGTCTTAATCAGGTTTATAACTGAATTGTTTTAATATTTCCGGTTAAACATTTACCAATTCAAACACTTTATGCCAATAAATCACTTGACTTTTATACAAAAACTCACAAATTGTTCTTCATGTGGGTTTTACAGCCAGTCTGGTGTGACCTACTAAAACTATTATAATGAATACAAGGAAACGGTTTGAATGAAAAGGAAAGGAGGAACTTTCTGCCTTGAGATAACGGAGGCACAAACCGTGCAGCGTTCCAAGTCCAAGCATCTTGCACGTCACACTCAAATGTCAACTGTCGATGATGGGTTTGAATTAAGTGAGGGAAGATGTTCTGTTCCATTTTCAAATGCATGTATTGAATCAGTGAGTGTGTGTTTTAGGAGCGGCTGTATCTCTTACCATTTGGGTGAAACATTCTGGACACAAACCGAACTGTGGGAGGTTTGTTTGGGTACTCCTCGGAAAACTCTATCAGAAGCTTAAACGTTCCTGCGGTGACAGAGGGAGGGAGAGAGAAGGTGAGAGGGACATTAAGAACGCGTCGAGGCGTGCACAGATATAATTTTGTGAGCACAGAACACAGGTGTGACGGATCGAGGAGGTCACACAAAGTGAGAGAAATAATTACATCACTAAAAATAGCAGTGGCCACAAAGACAAGCTAATCCCTCACTGATGTGCAGGCGTCGACTGCTGGCAAGAGGGAGAATAACAAGGAGGGAGAGCACTAACAAGAGAAAAGTATAAACCACAGAGTCAGCACTTCTCATGCACAGCCTCATAATTACAAGCTGAAGAAGTGGGTGTTTGTGTACAGACATTAGTGTCTCCTGTATTTAATGTGTGACAAAGCAAAACTGCAAGTGTGTCACTATATGAACACTTCTAATGAATGTTCTGCTCCACAAGTGCACTGTTCAGTAATTTCTTCAAAGAATTGATGATTCGTAGTTGGCAGGTTGATACAGGTCAAGGCAAACAACGAAATTTGACCCACACAGTGCTTAGTCATATTAATTGCTTCACCCTTAGACTTTTGACTGACTTCCATGTTCTTACAACACACTCCCTAGTAGGCTGTAAAGGATGGATTGAAAAATGCAGCACTGCAACATTGCAGGAGAGAATAGATCTATTAAAGCAAACCCAGAGTTTGAATTAACATGACCCCGCTGGGTGAGCACTTTACGGACAAGATATAATCAAAACAGAGAACTTACCATCTTCAAATGGTGTTCCCACAGGCCTGCCAGAAGTGAAGAGGGAGACATAAAATTATTTCCACATCCTAAAAATCCCCACTGCTACCAATAAGGCAGTGACTTGTAGAAAACATCCCCATTTATATGTGGACATGCTCCACACAGACACCGGAGACTTTGTTTACTCAGCTCCACACATTCACACAGTCTGTGTGAAGGAGCCAATTAAAACAGCTGCCTTCATGTTTTACATTTCCAACAGCTTTCACTTTGACTTGGAATGGTGGTGGGGAACTATTAGCAAGTGTTTTTATTTTAGATTAATAACATATTCCCCGTTTCCTGATTGTTTTGTTTTGAAGTTACCTTCAGCCGTCCAGTTTGCTTGAGTTGTTCATGTTTTATTACTTCTCACATTGACATTTGAATTTCATAACCTCAGTATGAAGCCCCCGACCAATTCTCAGTTTAATAAAAACATGTTTTTTCATGATTCTTCTTTCAAATGCATTTTAAAATTATACACAGGACTGAGAAAAGTCACTCTTTCGTTTTGTCTGTTCTATCCGAGTTTCCTTCCGTCCTTCCTTTCCTCTAAACCCTTCCCTCAACAGTGTCGCCCAGCCTGTTCTTTCATCAGACACCCACCGAGGGCGACATGCTGATTTTTCTATGCTGCTCTGTGCCATAATGATGTCTGTAATCAGACAGTTGTTTAAAATGCAGAACATGGAGAACAGGAATGTGACACACCAGGTCAGAAGGGGGGGACTCTGCGCATCCCAATCCCAGTGGCAAAGTAAAGACAATAGGGTGGAGTCTGATTTAGAGCATGACTCACCCAAAAATAACAGCGTTCCAAAGCATGATGTTGTTCTCTGACGGTGCTCCGCTCACACCGGTGGGAGGATCTTCTTGAAGTCTGCGTAAGATGAGAGAGAAAAAGACAATGGTAAGAGAAAGACAGGAGGGAGACATGGTAAGACAAATAGCAAGAAAAGAAGCAGGGAAGTGGACAAAAAAAAGAAGAGGGAGCATACGACAAGATAGGAAAATTAAAGAAAAAGAACGAAAAGAAAGATGGAGAGCGATGAAAGCAAAGTGACAGAAAAAGAAACAACAGATGGGGGAGAGTAAGGTAAGAGGGAGGAGGTAGAGAGAGCGTGACGTTTATAATTACAGTACCACCTCGACTGCAGGGTAATTATCAGTCAAAACATAAACTGCTGAATCAACATGACTTCAGCGAGCAACCAGGCTTACAGGATCAACAGCGCAGTGTCCATCCGGCTGTCAGTCACAGATGTCAGTTAGCATAAGCTACTACACTTAACACTGAATCACAGCTATGCCACGAACACCAAAAGCCCTCGTTCACTAAGCCGACCTTCACCTGAAATGACTTCCAACGCTGCCATGAGCAGAAATCAGAATAAATCACAGATTTAGATTAAGAGGAAACACCCTGATGTTTTTTTTTTCCCTATCAATACACGTTTGTTTCGTTATCCATTGCTGAAAAAGTGTCTGTTCTTTATTTTCAAAAAGAGAAACAAAATACAGTGCACACAGAGCAACTGATGTGTTTTATGGTTTGGAACTGATGTGTTTGGAATAAACAGACCAGCTGAGCAGTTTTCTGGAGGAGGATGAGACAGACGGAGAAATGTCAACTACAGAAAACAAAATAAAATCTCCAGGAATTGTGACTAAAGTTTCTGTTAAATCTATCGACCAAAAGACATTTAAGTCAGCGACTTTTGTGATAATAGACAATTATTACGTAATTTATCAGGTTGCAGATACATGTAGGTTTTAGTAATGTTAGGATTAGATGCTTAAAAGATGAGATGTAACTAATGAGTATGGCGTTGTGAGGTGAAGTCTCTTAAGACAAAACTTTTTGATATGATGATGAACATATTATCAAAAATAGTTGGTGATAATTAGTGATTTGAACTGCTTAGCAGTTAAATACCTGCTCTAACGTAAAACCATTAAGTGTTTATTATTTATAATATGTTTATTTTATAACCTAGTTATTCATCACAAAATAACCATAGCTGGATTTATCATTAATGGAAATAATAATTTGCTCGAGCTCCACAAGGAAACTGCTCAGGGCTGTTTGACTGACAAGTGATCTCTGTAAAGTGCCGTGCAAAAACACCATAGCAACAGCTACCTAGCAACAGAGACATCAACAAATCAAAACAGATGTCCGGGTCAACATTTTAAATTAAGCTTCAGACAACAACCACTTTGTTAAACCACTGGTCAGTGTAGAATATGTAAAACAGGTTTCTGAGCCAACAACACAAATAAAGGCGAGGTGTAGCAGACTATACTAAAATGTACATTGTTGGCTCCCGTGCCAGAACTCAGGCAACATTATATCATGGAAGGATCCCTTCAGATCACAAGTGCATGTAGGCCATGTCCGGAATCACCACAGACTGTTCCGGGCCTGGTATAAAAGCTGGTTTAATAAGAGCTTACGGCTATAAAACAAGGTAGGCTGATTTGTGTGTCTGTAGATCCATGTCCAAGTCCCTGGCTGCAGACAGACCCACCGCAATTAACCTCATTTACTGTAATCTGCCTGAGCTCTCTGCTGGTGGACTGGTGCTCCACTAAACTTCCCTATACCATAGTTACTTGATTTTACTCAGAAACTAGTGATCACTGACAGCAATTTGACTTTTAGGGAAGTATTGAGCATCATCTCAGACTGTGTGGTGGTTTTGTATAGTTCACCAGAAAATTAAAAGTTTGGCAACTATTTTGATTTCGTCTCGCAGGCCTCATTAAAACCACAATGTCCTAAGTGCTGAGCCAAATGACCACACAAATGTGTTGCTGTTCGCCCACTGACAGAGCTCTGTTTCGAGATGCATATTGAGCAAATAAACTGACTTGCACATCAAACAAGGCAGGTTGAGCAGTATCACACAGGACTGAGGGCAGTCAGCCTCGGTGTGGACACACATGGTGATCCAGGAATGTGCCATTGTGTTTTCCTTGCCTCAGAGTGTTACAGTTTCCCACCTGGGGACTGGCTCAGCAGCGTAGAGTTACAGGGACACCTTATCCCCCCCTGCTTCAACGGCTGTTCTTGCTAGAATAGCTTAACATATTTTTTTCCCACTGATAGGTAGGTGTGTGTGTGTGTGTGTGTGTGTGAATAACAAACACCTACTGTGGGGTGCAGAGCATATGGAGCGTGGCAACAGATTGAGGGTGGCAGGTATTAAAAGGAGCCCCGTGCCAGGTGTCACGCTCATGAAAACACAAATATATTCTTCATCCTCACAGCAGTTTGACATCATTTAAATCAAAATAAGCAAAGGGGGCCCTGCATTTCTAATCAAGCCTTGTTAATAAAGAGGTAAACAGGAATGGGTGATGGGCACATAACGAGTTGAAGCACCTCAGGATCTGAGTTGTGCAACACCTGAGAGCCACGTTGCGGCCAAAGGGGTCTGGAAACCAAAGTGTTCGCTGGCTGGGTGCTGTTGAAACCAGGAGACACAAACCCCACAGCTCGCAGAGCAGTTCAGATGAATACTGTCACGTTCAGCCTCTGACCAGGGCCAGTTAATCCACACAAAGCGTCTGATGGCTTGTTTTTGTGACCCCCACACCGGCTAGCCTGAAACTAAACCTCCCCCCCGGCACAAAAACAAAGTAACCAGGAGAATTAAAAAAAGACAAAAGGGACTAACGTTATCCCCCAGGGTTAGAAACACTGCATAACGCCAAACTGCCCTTTCAGGTGCTGTTAAATATCACCAAGACCCCCGACAATGACTTTATCAACCCACCACAGACCGAGAGAACCCGGGTAAACACAACAAGCTAGCGTCACAGCAACAACGGTCCAGCTTTAAATACAATATTGTCAGCACAGAAGCAGCTAAGCTAAGCTAAGCTACCGACAGCTACATCGGCTAACGATGCTAGCAGCACACAAACACAGGCTGCAAAACAAAATGAAATGTTAATTTAAAAACAAAAGAAACGCAGCGGTACCTTTTAAAATCCCTCATAAGCCGTCTCCTCGCCGGGGTCGACATTATTCAAAGCGTGTTAGAGTGAAAACCCCGGACCACAGACGGAATACTATCCGAAACCAAATACGGAGCCTCTTCCGCTTGTAGCCGCTTTTCTTCTTCTCTCCACACAACTGGCAGGCGAGCTATTTATGGTGACGTCGTCGCTGTCGGTGCTGGAGGCGCAACCACAGACCGGACATAAAAAAAAACCCCTGCGTCTGTGTCTCTGAGGGTCTGCAGGTAAAACACATGTCCGCTTAAAACTGAAGCTGCCGAATGAAAATAAAGTTGAAATAGACATTAGCTGCTCTGTCTGGCATTGTTCTCACACCAACACACTGTAGAAGGAGCTCTGTGACTTTATTATTGATCATGTGTTTAAAGAGTTTTCATTATTTGGGGGAAAATGTGGGGTTTGGTTTTGTTAAAGGTCCAGTGTGTCAGATTTAGGTGAAAGAGAACTGTTGGCAGAAATTGAATGTATAATAATCCTCATGATGTTTTCACTAGTTCGTTTCATCTAAATTGTATGAATTGTAGTTTTCTTTACCCCAGAAAAGCTCCTTTATATTTAAATACTTTATATTTATATTGAGGGGACCCTCTCTACGGAGGCCGCCATGTTTTTTACATTAGGTCGAACTGGACAAACTAAACACCTTTTGTCTACCACAGGTTATTTTTCCTGGTAGGAAGGAGAGGGTGAGGTGAGGGGTGTTCAGCTGCAACATGACATTTCAACACTAGGTTCTAAATTCTACACACTGAACCTTTAACAGCCCCCATTATGTTTTTTTCTGAAAGATGTTGAACAATATGTAAACCTAACTTTAACTTAACCTAACTCAAGTGTGTAATATTCATTCTGTGTGGGCAAAAGTTCATGTGTAATCCAGTCAATCGACATATTCTGCACACATTTTTCAGTTTAATTACATTCATATTTTCCTTTTTTTCTATATTTCATTCAGCCAATGTCTTGCTGATGCCTATTTTGACTCTTCTGCTGAAATACTGCAAATGACCCCATCGTGGGACTAATAAAGAATCATCTTATCTGTTAAAATATCTTTGAATTCTACAGGATTTATATTTATTTTGTACAACAGCTCTGGCTTGTATGTTTGTATGATCCTGTTTGTTATTGTATTCCTGTTCTGTTCCACTTTAATACAAACGCTGAACAAATGAAAGTCCACAAAGTTGAAATGTTGGTTTGAGATGTGCAATAGATTTGACTTGTTTTGTCCTGGATAACATCTGGAAATATGTTATTTTTTATTCTGCAGGGTAATGTCACCTGCAGCATCCAATAGAGCTGTTTAAACACATTCAAGCTGCAGTCACAATTATTCTATTGAGCTGTAATCATCCATTGTTTTATATTTATTGTTTACCTTGATTAAATAAAGTTGTTATTACTGTGTAACATTCTTTCATAAAGACACTCGACCCATTGCTGCAACTCCCTTCAAAGGTTCTATGTGTAAGATATCTATCTGTTTGTCTGTCTATCTGTCTGTCTGTCTATCTCTCTATCTATCTGTTTGTCTGTTTGTTTGTCTGTCT